TCACATGTGTCGCCGAAGTGGATATACCACTGAAATCTGTACTGTGAGGCTGTTAATAATCTGGCAACGGAATTATTAAATGAGCAGAAACGCTGAGGTATACCACCTAGTGGGATGACTGGGATTTCTTGTTCTTTCTCTTGGGACATTTACTTTAGGTGCCTACATTGGTGGGATCTTTTATTTTTTTTAAGTTCTAATTTATTTTATTCACGATAGAGAGCATGCACATGCGCAATCCAGACAGACAGACAGAAAAGCATCCTCGATAGGTCTCATCACATTGTGACCCCCTTCCTCAGCTCATCAGGACCTGGGGCACCTGAATACACACCTGGCATGATTCAGGTAGACTGGGCAGGGGTCCTGAACTCGCAGTCAGCCACGTGGCTTCACACTGTGGTCCAGTACACCACTGACTGCACCACCTCGGCTGGGCCTGCAGGGTCTTTGAAGTGAGAATTATCCCTGGGGGCTGCACACACAGACAAGCCCTCTGGCCTCTTCCCAAGTGCCCCTACCTGGGTGTAGATTAACCTGACACCAAAGTGAAAAGTACGTTTCGAAAGTCCCAAACATACTCCCTTGGCAGATATGGAAGTCACAGAGTGAGAGGCGCAATGGAAAATCGATTTGTGGGAGAACACGAAACCTGTATATAAATGCATTTTCATCCCAGGAGTGTTTTCTGGACGCAGTGCCATGGGGCTGGCTCAGCCCTGTGTATTTTTTGTGCATCATGTACTCCAAATTGACAAGACACTGAGCTGTCGGTGGCCCACAACTGCCGTCTGGTCACTCACCTTGTGTACGAACTGTTCCACTCTGGTCTGAAGCCCCCAGACCTCGAACTTCACGGTCACCAGCTTGTAGGAGCACATGATGGGCTGATGGCTATCTCTCCAGCCTTCCCTTAGCTGGCCCCGCCCTGTCTTCTCTGACTTGAAATGTTTAGGATCCTAGAAAAGAATATGTCAAAGACGTTGATAGATTAAAAGTTGAACCATCTATATGAAATGTCCAGAGTAGGCAAATCCATAGACACAGAAAGTACGTTAGTGGCTGCCAGGGATTAGGGACTGACTACTCATGGGTACATTTCTTGTTGGGGTGATGAGAATGTTCTGGAATTAGATAGTTGTGATGGTTGTACAACCTTATGAATATCCTAAAAACCACTAAATTATATGTTTCCATTTCATGGCTATTTTTAAAAAAAGAATAATTAATTTAATTTTATTTATTCATTCAATCATTTTCATTTGACCAGAGAAAGACAGGCACACAGAGAGAAGGAAAGTGAGAAAGCAAGGTACCAGGTTCAGGTCTCGAACCGTGCTAGGCCATGTGGGAATGTCCAGCGCTTTAACCACACCACCTGCTGGCCCTACATTGAATGGGTATTGTATCTGCATTTGGGCACAGTATATTTCTCTCCACTTAAATAAAAATTGGGTTCTAGAAAGGAGGCGGTGGTGTCGGTGGGCTGGAGGCGATTTGGACCCAAGAGGGACTATCAAGGTTATTTGCAATGACCATCTGGGAAAGAAGGTCTGCATAAAATGTAGAACGGATGACAACACTGAGGACCTTAAGAAACTGATTGCAGGGGCTGGCAGGTGGCGTGGTGGTTAAGGACACTGGACTCCCATGTGGCCAACTGCAGTTCGAGTCCCGGACCTGGCGGTTTCCTTTCTCATGTTCTCTCTCTCTCTCTCTCTCTCTCTTTCTCTCTCTCTCACTCTGTTCCTCTCTGGTGAAATTAAAATAAATAAATACATAACTTCAATAAAATAATTATTTAAGAAAAATTAAGAAAAGAGACAAAACGAAACTGATTGCGGTCTAGACTGGCACCTGTAGGAACAAGATTGTGTTGAAAAGAGGTACATGATTTTTTTAAGATTACGTGTCTCTGGGGTCTATGAACCCCATGATGGGATGAACCTGCAGTGTTATTACCAATAGAGCAGAATCCCCTCTCCCCACCAGACCCTGCTCCACCCTCCTTCATCTCCCATTCTCACCCCCCTACAATGGTAAACATACTTGCTTTTGAAAACCCACATTAATCAAAATTTAGATGCTAAAAACCAATTTTGCCAGAGGGCAAGTGAGAAAGAGAGAGAGGGGGGGAAAAAGCATCCTCTGACCAGGCGTGGTCATGCCACAATCCCTTCTCCTCCAATTCTCTATCCTCTTAGGGTTTTAGGCACCAACGGTCACACTGTGAAATTCCATTGATGTGACATGCCCACAGTAGACAAACCTATGAAGAAAGCAGATTAGTGGCTGCCAATGGTGGGAGAAGGGGAAGGTACAGGGAATGAATGCTGATGTGAACAAAGTTTCCTTTCAAGGTGATTCAAATATTCTAAAATTAGGGGCCAGCAGGTGGTGTGGTCATTGAGATGCTAGGCTCCCACATTGCTAATTGCAGTTTGAGTCACAGGTCTGATGGCTTGAAAATCATGCCAGGTGGGTGTACATGTGTGTCCAAGATCCCAGGAAGAGAATGGAGAATGGAGAAGGGATTGCGGTATGGGCGTCCCCTGGGGGGGTGATTTCTCACTTTCCCTCTCATTGTCTCTGTTTCTGTCTCTCCCATGAGCTCCTGTGTCCGATGGGAAAAACCTCTTAAAAAAAAGAAAATCACAACAAATAGGTTGTTTAAAATATCCTAAAGTTAGAGTATGGTGATGGCTCGCAACTCTATAAAGATGTTAGGAACTGTTGAATTATATACTTTCAATGGGCGAACTCCACGGTATATAAATTCTATATCAATAAACATTTTTAAAATTTTTATTTAGTAAGATGATTTTGTCTTAGGGAGTTTGTGCTCACTGAAGAGAGAGAGTGAGACAGACACAGTGAGAGGGAAAGTGAAAAATCCCCAGGGAAGATGGCCACGCCACATCCCTTCTCCTCCATTCTCCTCCTGGGATCTTGGGCACGCACGCACATGTGCCCGAAGTGATTTTCAAGTCATGGGGCCTAGGACTCAAACCACAATCGGCCATGTGGGAGTCTAATGATATAACTGTTACACTACCTGCTGGTCCCTATCAATAAACCTTTTAAAAACACAAAATACAGGGGACCAGCAGGTGGCAGGGTGGGAAAGGCACTGGACATTCCTACATGGCCAGCTACAGTTAGAGTCCCAGACCTGGTGGCTTGCTTTCTCACTTTCCCTCTCTCTCTGTGTGTGTGTGTATATATATATATAAATAGTGTACTTTTAAAAATGTGTATGTTGCCTTCTGGATTAGCAATATTTATGTTACATTTATCTTATTCTTTATAAGAAAATAAGAATACCATGATACATAGCTTATTTTGAAATAATGCAAAGGTAATTTCCTGTTGATATTTGAAAAGAGAGAAGAAGAGTTCCAGAAAGTAAAGTCATTTTATGATATTAAGTGGAAAATCAATACAGTAACTTTTCTGTTAGCTGGAATGTTTACCTTTTATTTCCTGGTTGTTGCTCAATTCCTTTGTACACTAAGAAAAAAAAAATCACAAGTTGAAGATGAAGGGCTCATCTGCAGTGAAATGTAGTCTTTGTGGTGGTCGATAAATAAGAAAGGAACATTATCTCCACATGAATGAGTATCCCCACCTTTGTGAAGGGAGGGGCTGATGAACTTGAGCTCGGGAAGCCTCTCTGAATCTTCCATACCAACTGTGCCATATTTTCATTGCCTGGACCAACCCCAAAAGGACATTGGCATCATACGCATAGGTCCAGAAAGGTTATGATAGTTTATAATATGAGATACAAAAAAGGCCTATGCCTAAGGGGGCTGGCTCATGGCAAATGCTCGCCTGATGGCAGCCATTATTACCCTTCCCAAATCAGTCCAAGGAACCCTTCAGTTATGTGCCCAACCGGGCAGTCCAAGGCAGGGACAGAATGCTTTTTCAACGCACCCTAGAACTGCTGGGAGAAGGTGTGATATTGAAAGCCACGGGACTAATTCCTGCCTGCCTTGTATTCCTCTGTCATCTAATACCACTAAGAACAAAAAGATGGGGCCAGCAGGTGACATGGTGGTTAAGGCACCTGGATTCCCACATGGTCCACCACGGTTCGAGTCTCGAACATGGTGGCTTGAAAATCACTCTGGGGAACCAGCAGTTAGCGTAATGGCTATGTTGCTGGACTCCCACGTAGTTGACCGCGGTTTGTGACCCGGACCCGGTGGCTTAAAACTCACACCGGGCATGTGTGCGTGCGTGCCCAAGATCCCGAGAGGAGAATGGAGGAGAAGGGATTGTGGCGTGACCATTCCTTCTGGGGGGTGATTTCTCGCTTTCTGTCTCTATGTCTCTCTCTCTCTGGCGAGCACACGCGCCCTATAGTGAAAACCTCTTCAAAAAAAAAAAAAAAATGTATCTGGTTGTGTGTGCCCAAAATCCTGAGAGGAGAATAGAGAAGGGATTGTGGCATGGCCATCCCTGCTGGGTGGTCATTTCTCACTTTCCCTCTTCCTGCCTCTCTTTAGTGAATGTACACACCCTATGTCCAAAACCTAAAAAGAAAAGTGTCTAAATTAAATATCTACAGCTTTATGTATGTTAAGAAATTAAACAAAAAAATGAATGTTGAATTTGAAAAAAGAAAGAAAGAAAGACTAAGAATGGAAGACCAATAAATCAGATGTGTCACTCAGGAGATGGTAGCAGATAATCTCCAAAGATGGAGATTTGATTTCTTCCTTCACTGGTCTGGCAAGCTGCTCCCCTTATCAAGAAGGCAGAGTCTAGTCCCTTATTCTTGAATCCAGATTGGCTATGACTTGACCAAGAGAATGTGATAGAAGAGAGATGGGGGGCCCAACAGATGGCATAATGGTTACTTTGCTAGACTCCCACTTGGCTGACCGCGGTTTGAGTCTCAGACCTGGAGGCTTGAAACTCACGAGGTGCCTGAGTACGAGTGCCCAAAATCCCAAGAGACATGTGAGTAGAGAAGCCATCTTAGGTATTTCAGTCCAAGCATAAGATGTAGAGCAGAAGATACCATGTAGAGCAGAAGATCTTTCTAGGTAAGTCTAGACATGTGGATTGGACTACGAGATTATATGAAATAAAGCACTGGTGTTTTAAGGTTTTTACCACAGAGCATGTGTGCTCACTGGAGAGAAAGAAACAATGAGAGAGAATGTAAAAAAAATCACACCTTGGGGGGATGGCCATGCCACAATCCCTTCTCCTCCATTCTCATCCTGGGATTTTGGGCATGCATGCATACACACCTGGCAAGAGTTTCAAGTTGCCGGGTCTGGGACTCCAACCATGGTTGCCCATGTAGGAGTCTAGCACCTTAACAATCATGCCACCTACTGGACCCACATTCTTGTTTTAAGTCTCTAAATTTGGGGTACACTGTTACTCAGCAAGAAGTAACAACACAGATGTGTCAAGGAGCTTGCAAAACAGATGCATTAACTGGATCACCAAAGATGAGAATAAATGCTGCTTTGTTCTTTCATGGGACACACCAAAGTTCATACCACCAGTCATATGCCTGAAAGCGACAAACAAGGGAATGTATACCTGTCAAGTAGCTCCTCTAAGTTAAAATATAGGAGCTGGAGTTAAACAGGAAAAGAAGGTTTCTTTCCCCGTCTGCCTTTCAACCCTCCCACAAGAGAGGCCCGTGATGCATATGAACTGCACACGGCCAGCTATCTTGAGGCTTGGAAGATGTGGCTTCCATCCTGTGGTCCACCAGAAGATGGACAGGCAAGCTGAAGTGGAGGCTGTCCTACTTGGGATAGCCGCTGTGTAAAACAAACAAACAAAAGTATTGTACAGAGCCTGAAAGGGGAGGACGCCAGGAGGTCAAAGCTCTCAGCAACCCAGATCTGCAGGAGACAAGAGCCCAGTGAGCAGAGGGTTTTGGTCCATCATGTTGTAATAACTGAATACTTGAATCTGTGATTTG